AAAAAAAAAAAAAAAAAAAAAAAAAGTCGAGTATTTAGTTAAATAATTCGTTCATGCTGTAAAAAGTAAAGTAGAAGTTCCTCTTCAAAGACTTTCCTCCCCGTCTCATTAGGAGTAAATAGTAACTTCTCTTAGAAACAAAATTTATTCAAAGACCTGTGCTAACATTCTTAAATATCTGCTAGCCGTAACAAGGAAATCAATGTACACTATGTTCTTAGCTCCCATAATTTAGCCTAAATATTTGCCCTGCCATGGTTATACTGGTCCAAGCAAGCATTAGGTCATAGCCTATTCGTCTTCCTTATTTAAAAGTGTTTTTATCTTTCTCAGCATTCCACAAGTTACTTCCTCCTTCCTTTGTTCTCCTCTACCTTTGCCTCTTTTAAAAAGTTCTAAATTGCTAGGCAGTTGGGACACATACAGAATGTGAGGTCCTGTTTCAGCCAATGGAAACCAGACATAGCAGTAGGGTGGACATATCAGGTTATAAATGACCCTGTCTCCTTTGTTCAGTGTACTCTTGTGGCAAAATTGCTGGTGAGTGTACCTTTTCTGCAGGAAGTAAAAATGGCCTTACTAAATACATTTATGTTCAAGTGCTATTTCTTTACGGCACAGAGGAACAAACATTTCAAACAATGCTATTATCAAGTTTGTTAGTATTTATTATCTCATTTGCTAAACTCAAAAAAAAAAAATCTGTCTTTAACATGTTCAAATATTTCAAAAAGTTACTGTGCTGTTTCTTAAAATAAATCAATCGTAATCCTAGACTATGTTGCTCAAACTACATACAACACCCTCTGAGCTTCTGGCAGGCCCTTCCTCCCCTCCCTGCTCACCAGAGATCACTGAAATAATTGTCTGCATGTAACTTTTAATTTTGACGGTTTACTCCACTTGAAGTAACTCTGATCCATTTGTCAAAGTTCGCAATGGAGCAGGTTCCTCTTAGGGGACAAGTTTGATAAACCACGACCACAGGTCTATTTCATTTCTCCTTTTCCAATGTGGAACAAATTTGTCTCTGGGATTAAAACCACTTTTCTCATATTGGCCTGTGAGAGAAAATGAGGGAATTTCTTTGAGTTTGTTTGGTTTGTCTGTTTGTTTAATCAGCATTTTTAAAATTATTTACTCAGCCCTGTCTCAGAGATAGTCCATGACGATCTGGAATTCAACCTCAGGACAAAGTTCTCCCCTGTGCTTGAGACACTGCGCAACTAACTGGAACCAAAGGTGTTTAATATATTAGGCACAGTAGATTCTTCAGTGACACTTTCCATGCAGATACTTCAAGCAAAATAATGGAGCCCCGAAGACCGAATGTGAAGACAGCAGTTCCATTGTCTTTGGAAAGATATCACATATCTGAAGAGTATGGCTTTCTTCTTCCAGATTCTCTGGTAAGGATAGAGCCTTGGTAAGAATAGGTCAGAATATGTTTCTTGAGATGTTGGTTGGTTTGTTTTTAAAAAATGTATGTGATTATTAAGAGACGTGCAATATAAATATCAAGTTGTTTAGCTGAGAAAGAGGCTACAAAGAGCATAGATGATTATTACCATCAAAAGAGAAGTGACAGATGCCATAGAGAACAGGTCAAATGGAATATTTTTTGTTTCAATTTCTTTTGACTAGATTGTCAGGCAAGAGAAATTGTAAGCAAACCTGTAGTTATCAAGAAAAAGAATGAACTTAAATAGAGATAAATTGTAAGAACAAATATAGAGCCTCAGCACCTGGGACATGGCACTTCCAAGTACATGAGCTAAGGTCACAGCAAGACTCAAGCCCCTTCAACAGAATACCTGGAATTTCTCTGTTAAATATTTTCTCCTTTGCATGACTACTTGTTTGTAATGCAGATTCCTCCAGCAGCATTTACTTATAAACTGTCCTGGATCACTACCATGATATTTTGATGTAAATTAGTTTATCTTGACTTGCTAGTGGGAGAAAAAAGATAACATGAGGAAACTTGGGTGCTTTCAGGGTTGGTAGGAAGGATTAAATCTTTGCAACAATTTCTGAGAAGGGGAAGGAAACCTTGCTAACAAACAATACCTCTTTCTTAATTCTACTGGAAACAAATGATCTATCAGCAAGGGGAGCTTTACTTTCTGCAGAAAGAGTGCTACTCAATAGCTGTCCAGCCACAAGAGCACACCAAACAAAGGAGACAGTTATTTATAACCTGACGCATCACCCTACTGCTGTGTCCAGCTTCCATTGGCTGGAATAGGACCTCACATTTTACACTTTACCCAATTGGCTATTAGTTTAAAACGTTTTTAATTGGGTAAGGGAACAGAGCAAAGAAAGAAAAGTTAGTTGCCCAGGGATAGTTAAGGAAGCATCTCCAAATAAGGAATGACATGCACTGTGGGCTGGGGCTTTTCTAGTTCTGTCCAGGCATGTCGGAGCAAGCTACAACAGCTGATTTGGACAGCCACTAATAGTGACTAGCAATGTTATAGTAAGAAATTGTAACTTTTTATAATCTTTGAAGAAGAACTTTCCCATTTCTCACAGTGCCACTGCACTCCAGCCTGGGCAACAAGAGTGAAATTCCGTCTCAACAAAACAAAGCAAAACTAAACTAAACAAAACAGCTCTCTACTCACGGAAGCAGCAGAATTCTTATCTTTATTTATATCACTCCGGTAACACTCAGAAGTAGACAAGCCTCTGTAGGTATTCAGTAAAAGCCCATTGAATTCTACACTATTCTTTAATCATAGTTAAATGGCAAATTGGGCTGGAGGGTGGAAGTGGAACTTCTAAATTACTGCAATGACTGCAACATCGAACCGCTATATATATATATATATATATATATATATATTTCTTTTTTTCCTGAGACAGAATCTCTTTCTGTTGCCCAGGCTGGAGTGCAGTGGCACTGTGGGAAATGGGAAAGTTCTTCTTCAAAGATTATAAAAAGTCACAATTTCTTACTATAACATTGCTAGCCACTATTAGTGGCTGTCCAAATCAGCTGTTGTAGCTTGCTCCGACATGCCTGGACAGAACTAGAAAAGCCCCAGCCCACAGTGCATGTCATTCCTTATTTGAGATGCTTCCTTAACTATCCCTGGGCAACTTGCTTTTCTTTCTTTGCTCTGTTCCTTTACCCAATTAAAAACGTTTTAAACTAATAGCCAATTGGGTAAAGTGTAAAATGTGAGGTCCTATTCCAGCCAATGGAAGCTGGACACAGCAGTAGGGTGATGCGTCAGGTTATAAATAACTCTGCCTCCTTTGTTTGGTGTGCTCTTGTGGCTGGACAGCTATTGAGTAGCACCCTTTCTGCAGAAAGTAAAGCTCCCGTTGCTGAGAGATCATTTGTTCCCACGTTCATTCTTTTACTGTGACACCAAAAACTTCATTCCTAACAGCATGATCTCCACTCATTGCAACCTCCGCTTCCTGGGTTCAAGGATTCTCCTGCCTCAGCCTCCTGAATAGCTGGAACTACAGGCATGCACCACCATGCCCGGTCAATTTTTGTATTTTTAGTAGAGAGGGGGTTTCACCATGTTGACCAACCCAGTCTCGAACTCCTGACCCTCAAGTGATCTGCCTCCCTTGGCCTCCCAAAGTGCTGGGATTACAGGCATGAGCCACCGCACTTGGCCTGGACCCCAAAGTTTTTAACTGAGTGGTCTTGGCCCTCATTTAGGATGTAATAACAATAATAATAATAATAATTAAAAGTCAAGAGTTATAAGCAGAACCAGTTCTGCTTTTGCTACTCATGACTTTGAGGAAGTCATTTCCTCTGGATTTCAGCTAGCTCAAATGTAAAAAGAGGAGATTGACACCTGATGGTCTGTAAAAACTTTGATAGTTTTAATGCTCTAGGCTTTGGACCACAACAGATGAGAAAAACAGTGTTGATAAGGGCTAAATGATGAAACGGATTTGCATTACAATTTGAGTCCTAAGTAGAATTAAGAAAGAGGTATTGTTTGTTAGCAAGATTTCCTTCCCCTTCTTAGAAATTTCTAATGGCAGAGTCTCGGCTCACCACAACCTCCACCTCCTGGGTTCAAGAGATTCGCCTGCCTCAGCCTTGGCAAGTAGCTGGGAGTACAGGCCTGTGGCACCACGCCCAGCTAATTTTGTATTTTTAGTAAAATACAGAGTTTCTCTATGTTGGTCAGGCTGGTCTCCAACTCCCGACCTCAGGTGATCCACCTGCCTTGGCCTCCCAAAGTGCTGGGATTACAGGCATGAGCCACCACTCCCGGCCCAGCTGTTAGTTTTGAAATCAAATTATAAATCTGCAAGTAACTCCAGCATCAGTAGTAATGACAGCGGGGATGCTGATGAAAGGCTCCGTCTTCTGGGGTATATATCCTGGTTCTTTGTCTCCACCGAGAAAAGAATTCACGACACGGATACACACGAGTGGATTTAGGAGCTGAAAGTTTAATAGACATAAAAGAAGAGAGAGAGAAAACGCTTCTTTATGCTGAGAAAGTGGGTCGCCCAAGAGGGTCTGCTTTGCGGTGGAAGGCAATGGATTTTGTACAAAGGCTTGACGAGGCGGTGATTGATTTACATAGGGCCCAGGGGATTGGTTTGATCAGGTACGTCATTTACATAGCCGGGGAAAAGACTGGCCCTCCCACCCTAGTCTTTTATTATGCAAATACAGCCTCCACCTGGCGGCCGCCGGGATACCTTTACACGTGGTTTTACCTGGAGGCTGTCATGATGCCGACACACCTGGTGACAAGGAAAAGAGTGAGGGCCGGGCGCAGTGGTTCATGCCTGTAATCTCAGCACTTTGGGAGGCCAAGGGGGACGGATCACCTGAGGCCAGGAGTTCGAGACCTGCCGGTCCAACATGGTGAAACCCCGTCTCTACAGGGGGTTTACAATACGAAAATTAGCTGGGTGTGGTGGTGAGCACCTGTAATCCCAGCTACTCAGGAGGCTGAGGCAGGAGAATCGCTTGAACCCAAGAGGTGGAGGTTGCAGTCAGCGGAGATCGTACCACTGCACTCCTGACTGGGTGATGGAGTGAGATTTTGTCTCAAAAAAAGAAAAACAGAAGAGAGCATAATCTCCATATTGAATGTTCCTGGCTTCCAGGTACAGCTGCTGTCGTTTACATATGAAAGCTCCTAGTTTGCAATCTATCAGGCTGCTTTCAGTTAGAGAAGAAGTGGTTTCAGGCTGCTTTTTAGTAAAGGAAAAATCCAGTGAGACCTCTTTCACCCTTTCTAGCTGCCTACAAATAATTTCTTAATAACTCCTGTATTACTATGCACAGTTGGGTTGTGGTCCAGAGGACCAGACTGTTTCCTCTGACACTGCCACTAGGTTGACCAAGTGTCCCTATTTGTTGGGTACCGGATGGACTCCCGACATGCAAGACTCTCAGTACTAAACCAGGAAAGTGCTGGGACAGTTCGGATGAGTTAGTCACCCTAAGTTGTACTTAGTAGCTCTTGTGACTTTGAGTGAATCACAAACATCCCCTAACCCTCAATTTTCACATTTACTGAATGGAGATCTGATGCCACCTCCACCAGATTCCTATGGAGAATGAATGTGAAAACACTTTCATAAATCCAGTGTAAGGACCAGAAGCCAGTCTTCTGACCTTGAGCCAGTGCTTGTTAAAACTCCACTCTATACGTCTAACCCAATTCAGGAATATCCTGCCTGGTTCCAAAGGAAGAAAAGACCAAGTTGCTCTTATTGGGATTAAAAGTGCACACTGAGCTGAGGAAAAATAATATTACAAATGAGCTAAACATGACGTAGATCCACAGTTTTAGAGTTCCTCTCTTTGTTCTTTCCTCTTTGTAACTATGGAAACAGGAGAAACAGATGAGAATCAAGTTCTCGTGACACTCCCTGCCTGATATACTAGATATACTATGGTTTCGTTGATGGAATTTCCATTCCTGAGCTTATGTGGGAAAAAAGTCCCTTGAGAAACTGGTTTTACTCAGTTATGATCGTTTTCCCCAGATTTCTCAAAATGTACTTCCCTGTTTCAGTTTTGATTTTCTTTCATTGGTTTGACCTTTTTCAACAACTCCCTTTCTGGGAAGAGGTAGCAGAAGGACATTTTCATCAAAATCTGCCCCAGGTTGCTTCACAGATGAGGAGGGACCCAGTCACTAAAATCACCAGGCAGAGTGTTGCAAGAGCAGATGGAGAATCACGATTGGCTGTCCTGCTCAAGGGGACACCAGATCTTACTTTCCTTTAGTCGAAAGGCAAGCGTCAGAGTCAGGAGGCTGTACTTTCATGTCCAGTGGCCCCAGAAGTTCCTTCAGTATCTCTTTTGGTTTCTCACTATAGATAGTTGCTTGAACGTGTGTGAAGAAAACATGGTCAAGACAGTGACTTAAAAAAATTCTGTTTTGGGGGAAGGAGT